ATTTGATTGTGCCTTCTTTGTTTCATGTTCTTTTTCCACAAGTCTGATTTCCTTCCTAAGTTCATCAAAATTGGTCAATGCATCAAATTTGTATCCGGTAATATCCTTGATCCACTGATGAAGACCATTCCAGAATTTTGATCTCAATTTCTCATTTGAATCCTCCTTGGTTGCAACTCCTTTGATAACTGCCTTTCTATAAATCTCCTCTAAACGACAACTCCAACTCATGCTATCCTCTCCTTTTTCTTGTCGCGCACTGTAAAATTGTTCCATAATTGTCTCTCCTCGTTCTATGGTACCAAACACACTCTCCATCTTGTCCAGTATTTGGGTTACAGTGGCTCCAGGACCAAGTCTCATAGCAACCTTGCCTGCATCTCCTCGCAATGATCTCCTAATTGACTGAGCAATTGTCTCCTCCTTGCACTTCTCCTTGATCAAACAATCCACTTCATATCGCCAAAGATCATATGTGGTGTCATTCTTGCTGCCGTCTCCAGAAAAGCAAGAGATCTTTGGGATGTGGGTCGAACTGATGATGCTTCCTGATGCTGATGCTGATGAAGTTCCAGTATCCGCGTGCGGTTCTGTCTTTACATTGACAAATTCCTCCTCATTCATTTGTGCAACATACTGAGTCATCCATTGTTTGAAATCCTGTGCTGTATCTGCTTTAGGTTTTACATTTAATTCTTTGAAAACTTTTGCAATTTGATCGAGTTCCTCCTGTGAAATGTCGACGGACATGATGATTTGTTGTTTGTTGTTTGATTTCCAAATAAACTTTTCTAATTAACTAAATACTAGCTAGGTACCTAGTAACTAAATCTACCTTAAAGTATTATCTAAATTAATCTAAGACTACATCCTCTGAAGCTGAAGAATCCAATGTAAAATCCAATCCGAAGAGTCCGAGATGAAGTCAAATAATCAAATCTTACTAATTAATTAAACTAATTAAACTTAAATTCTAAATATCTACTTAATTAAACTTTAAACTCTATGTAACACTAAATTTCACTGAAATGCAAAGTATTATTAATCACCTGAAAAACAAAATTTCAAATTAAATTTTTAAATAAGCTGAAATAAAATTAAATTAAATTACCAAATGAAATAAATAAATAAAAGTTTAAATAATAAACTAACTAAATTCTAAATAAATATAACCTTAATCTAATCTAACCTTAATCTAATACTACCTTATAAATAAGTAAATGGTTCTGAAGAATGAAAGATAACTCTAACTACAAACTTACTCAAGGAAGATAACTCTCTTCAGTACACCGGGTGCGCTCAAGCGTGACGAACTCTCGGCCAGGGGTCAAATACCCGATGTAAACAAAATCACGCGAAATCAAAGTAAACGGTACAATAATGCAAAATAATGATAAGGAATTCAATGTATAAACAATAAATGACGGACACAGGTGAATCACCAACACACTGATTACTCAAAGTAATGTGACCTTACTATGTATATGTACTGAAATGTACAGTAATCTGGGTATTAAATAAGCTAATTCACATGTTGACTACAGGGGTGATAAAGGGGTATTAAAGCTACTAAATACTGTAGAACTAGATCAATGAATCTAAATCAAAACAATAGACTCACTCAGACACACTAGTCACCTCAAAATCACCTGTAAACAAACTACCTGTACCTTCAAGTCTAAATGTAGGTCACATATGTCAAGGTCAGCTGATCAAGAGAAAAGAAATTAGTGTGGGGTGGAAACCAGGTATATCAGATTAATAGAATTAATTTCTTGCACACACTACAATAATTTGCTCAGAAATAAATAATATTTACACTTAATATATACAGGAAGGGTATAGAAGGCTTTTCACTTTATAACCAAAATATGCCTGTCACTTGTCAGTCCAAAATATACGTGTTTTGAGCACAATTGTAAAATAAAAATACCTTACCGTGCTGGCAAGCTTCTAAACACCAAATGAATAAATATATAGTCACAAAAGTTCAAATGAAATGTCACTGGTCATTCTCTGAATGTCACTTTCACTGAAAGTCCAGCGTTGAGTGGATTGCGCAATACAGTCTCTGTCTGTAAACACTACACGTCGGTGGATCCTGGATCCTCCTCGGCGTGAGATCCTCACGGCTAGTGCGCCTCGCAATGGTCAGTCAGCCAATCCTTATCCCGCCGTGGATGCCATTGAAATGGGGTTCGTTTTATAAGTAAATTAACACAAACACCATGTTGTAGATGTGGATAAGTGTATATTCAATCAGTATTATCACAGCTCTGAAATATATAAACAATAATAAATATTTGATAACAATACATACATGTAGATCACTTGCCAGATAGCACGGTCAAAATGAGAGTTATTTCCCTTAAATTGTGCTCATGGATAAAACATTAAGAGTTGTCTTTCTTAATCAATAATATGTACAGAGTATAAATACTGGAATTTATAGATGAAACAATCAGATCAATTATACTGAACTTTTCCAGAATAATATAATTATATGGACAATATTCAAAATATATATACATCATACCTATATGTGATATAAAGCCAATACTCCAAATATACAATGATGCGTGAACTCTTACTCAGTGATCTGTATATAAATAATAAACAACTTTACTGTATTGCTCTCAAAAATGTACATACAATGATATATGAAATTATTACTTTTCATTATTTACACACTCATAAAATAATCACAAAGACTGAATCTTCATACTTCATATTAGAATATTAATATTTAGGAATTAAATAGATAAACAATTATATAGAGATAATGAAATTAGTAAAAGTCAACTTACATTCTGTCCAGTCTTGGTCATGGTCGTAAATAAGTCAATATAGACAAACAAAATATATCAAATACCAATATGTCTGCTGGTCAGACCAAGATCTCAAACAAAAGTAATTAACTAAGCTAAAAACCAAAAGAGAGGGAAACTAACCAACCAATGAAATCCAAGTTGGCCCTGACACTACACAAGATATAAATAGAAAAGGGACAGGGGTTTAAATGACCACTGTGATGTCATACATCTATAAATAACACAATGAACACAGATTAATGTAAATAATTCCATGTGGATTTATTCAATATTAAATGAAATACTGAAAAGAAATAAATATGATAATTCAACTGAATTAATTTAATCCTGAAATATAATAATTAATATATGAAATAAATCACCCTATCACACAAGTATCTTAAAATAAGTTTTCCCCTCTATCGTAGTGCAATAATACTCCACAACAATTCCCTAGGTGAAGAAAAAATGATCATACATAACTTTCTTCTTTCCATATTGACATACCTGTCACTTTTTACCCAATAATACAAAAGAGTTCCAACAAGGGGAGATAACAATTAAACTCCAGCAAATTGGTAACAAGAGGGTAAAATAAGCAAAAGAAAGTTATATGAAGTGTCCAAATCAGTTATTCCTCTTCTAAAAAATATATTAGATTAAGAATCTTCTCTTTTTCTTTAAATATCATAGAAATAATCCAAAAATATGGTAAAAGACTGTTATTTAAAATATGTGAAATTGTAGCAAAATATGGTATTTCAAAGTTAATTTACAGCATGTAGATATTATTTCTCAAGCTCAATATTTTAATACAGAGTAGACCTAAGATCATTCTTAAAGTAACAATTAATTTGATTTAATTTCAACCTTGGTCTTGAGAGAAACGAGCGTCTAAAAATGATTAAAAAATCATACTCATTTACTTAGGATCTATAAATAGATGTGTAAAAAATAAAATATTCATTTGATTTAAGTTTTTCCTCATTAATTGTGTTAATTGGACAATGACTTTGACAATAAAACAAAATTTGAAAATAAACTGATGACAAAAGGTAACTTTTTGACTTGATCAATTTGCATACATTTTCCATTAAATTTTGTGTGATTTTCGACAAATATGCAAATGAGCTGTTACTAAAAATAGATGCAGGGTTCGACATTTTTTTGTGGATATTCTGACTTCACCTTTATGTAGAAAATTTTAAGCCACTAAAAATTCCTAAGTTGCAACCTTCCATTTGGACGATTTTTTGAATTTTGCATGGTTTTCTCGCAGACTGGCTCTTAATAGGCTTTGAAAGCAAGAAAAAAAATGTTGAGCGTGCCACAAAATAACTTCGAGTTCAAATGTATGACATTTGAAAGAAATTCAAATAAGATCACATGACTGAATCAGCAAGATGGTAGATCACCAATGACGTCCGAGGTTATGTGCGAGGTACGTGTCATCCGAGGAACTCCGAGTGCGGCGAGTGTGACCGATCGACAGGGGATTCTCGCTCCTCCATGGTACCTGATCCCACCTCTGTTGCTGTAGTGGTCCGTGTTTGCTATGCTATTGATTTGTGTTGTTTGAGTGGACTTTGCGGCTTGAATGCTGTCCACTATCTCCATGTATTTGATTTTATCAGATTTCGGTTCATTTAACAACGTAATTTTAATCAGATTTTTTTTTCATGAGGAGATGTAAATCAATACAGCTCCTTATGAAACGCAAACTTCTATAAAATCTTTTGATTGGCCAATTGAAAACGGATTGGAAAAAATAAAACATATAGAGATAACGAACAGTATTCAAGATCAAAAGTCCATAAAACATTGCAAAACAGGGGCAGAGCAAACACGGACATCCAAAACATCAGAGGTGGGATCAGGTGCCATGGAGGAGTAAGCATCCCTTGCCGACCGGTCACACCCGCCTTGTGCTCCTTGTCATGATAAAGAAATAAGGGAAAAATCCGTCATCAATTCAGTGTATAAATAATGGACTAACAATTAGTATGAAAAACGTCAGTCAGCATTTGACACGTATGATAAAGAAATGATTGGTTCACTGTTACTTGATGCTGAAAAGTCAAGATTGTTAGTTTCCAAGCTTTCTAATCCTTTCAGTTAGTAATGATGGATTGTCATTTATTCTAACATTTAATGGCACCATATTGTACATCATTTTCTGTATTCGTCCAGACGTTCTGAAGGACCGGGAGCGGGCCATGACAGAGGGTGACCGGAATATGTACGACTACGTGAAAAAAATCCTAGAAAACCAAATAACGAACGACATCACGAGAGAAAGTGTCGCCCGGATGATTGTGAAGGATGCGCATAGACATATGTTTGGAGACTTTATGAAGTACATCAAGTTCTTCTACTTTAAAGGTACACAACTATAACATTTTCCCCTCGTTTTTTTTCTTTGAGCAAGTTATATAGTCGTGTTGTTCTTTTTGAACGGTCTTCCTTGTAAATTATTAACTAATAGTGAAAATTCGTGTAAATGTAACACACAAACTGAAAAGATAAGTTAAACAAGATGTGTTTGTGAAACCCTGATGCCACCCATATGGCAGCTTCTGGCAAGTTGACTTTTCTCAAAAGCGTAGGTACCCGAAGGAAGATCTTGCTACAGGGAAACACCTGTGAAAAAATGAAAGCCCTAGTTCTAACTGTTCAAAACTTAATGGCTGAGTTTAAAGTTTTTAAAAAGTGGGTCAACTATACGGCCAAAGCAAAAGGTGAAAAATATTCATACCCATTGAAAGGTCTTGTCACAAAGAATACACGTATGAAGTATGAAAAAAAAAACTAACAACAACTGTTCAAAATTTATGGCCAAGGTTATAGTCTTTTTTTTTTTGTAAAAGTAGGTCAAACTCCAAGGTCAAGAGGTCAAATTTGGTGGTACTCAAAGACAGGTCTTCTTAGATTTAATAATTTACTGGGGGCATACAAATTAAATGTTTTATATTCTAATATACTTCAGATATCATGGAATTCTTTGGCAAAATGAAGACCTTGTTATACGAAGCTAGAAAAGATGAACTGAGTGTTTCTGAATTTGACCAAAAATTAAATGAGCTGCTTACGTCGGAGAGTAAGTTTGATTTCAAATGTCCTCGCCTGCAACATCTATGGGATTTTCACCAGGCACTCGCCGTTCGTTTTCAACAAAAGTAAGTTTGCATATTTTAACCGGTTTCTTTTAAAATTTTTATAACTTAGTCCTTATGTTCTAAACCTGAGTAGAGTAAAATAATACTGGCATTGTCGGATCTACCCTCGGATGATCTCGTCTTTTACTTATTTCGTGATGATAAAAGACGAGATCCCTGTGGCTTTGGGTATTTGACGACGTGGCTAAGGTTAAATCAAGCGTGGAGTCCAGGAACCCCCCCCCCCCTCCCCACTGGAATTGCAGAGTTATTAACTGTATATACTAAACCAAATGAAAGTTAACCCCCCCCCCAGGAAAAGTGGACCCCTCCTCTAAAAACAGTTTTTGAAGTCAACAACTACCCCCCCCCCCCACACACACACACAAACACACACACACGAAATTGGTTTTTCATGTTTTGGAAATGGGTTGACGTTTTTTCTCTTTTTCATTTGTTTTAATTTTTATCTTGCTTGTCAAAAAATTTCTAGGTTGATTTTTTTTTACTGGGATTGAACCCACCCCCCCCCACACACACACACACACAGACGAAATTGGTGATCTTTTCAACGAACATTAAAAGTTTTTAACATTTTCACTCATAAAAATATAGGTTTTCCGAGGACAAACACTTAGGTGAAGCAAGGACGACGATGACAAAATACTTGGCTGGATACCTAACCAGTGATCCCACGCCTGTCGTCAGTGCCATTCTCCGAGTCTACAGCAAGTACGTGAAGGGGGCAGTGCGCAACTTTGAACGAGTCGAGACCCACATGACTACTCGAAACATGGACGACATCATCAACTTTGTGTCTGAATTCCTCAGTATGTATCCTAATAAGAATGATCAAATTTCCTTAATTTGGATATACCGGTATCTCTATTTCCTAATAAATCATACAATTGATAAAGAACTCGGGCTGTTACAGGCCCATGTTAGCCCGGGCATGCACTGTAATGCCCGAGGACTACTTTTCCGCTTGTGACGTAATTGTAATATATAAATCTTGCAGATGAAGAGCAGCTTCAGTATTTGAAGTCTATCTTTGAATATCTGAAAGTAACAGAAAGCGGCAGGAACATTGGCAGTAGAGGAATGGGTTCATCCTCCGATTGGGATGATATAATAGAACCCGACAGTGGATTTGGAGGAGATGAAAATACAGAACCATTCCCATAGATGGAGATGGAACAATCGAATGATACCCTGTGACTCCGGATAACGAATGGTCCACCATATACTAGCGACGACACGAACAGAATTTCAGTCTCCTGTGCAATTGGAGATTTTGATCAATGAAATATGAACGAAGTCAATGACAACAGACTCGTAGAAATCCACTTTATGTTAACAATTTATTTCTACAAGTTTTTTTTTTCTATTGAATCGATATACTATAATTTTCTTTGATGCATTAAAAAAAATATATAATATTTTACTCAAGCAGGAAGGAATTAACTACGCATATACAAGCCAGCAGGGTAAATTTTAAACGTTTTTATATTGACTTGTTTACGAGAGAAACATAAGTTTTGTCTGACCTGAAAACCAAACTTTTGAGTTCGTTTCTGTCATCACAGAACCTAGGTCCTTGATAGGGAAGATGACACACAGAGGATGTGACCGTTCGGCAGGGGATTCTTGCTTCTACATGGCACCTTATCCCACCACACACGCAACCAACTGACAGTTACCTACCGTATAAGTAGAATTTTTAGCGAGGATTTAATTTTTTGTATATACAATCCCGTTAGTACGAGTATAGGTCCGTGCAACTAATTATAAATCTCTCTCTCAACTGATAATCTCTCTCTCAACTGATAAATCTCTCTCTCTCTCTCAACTGATAAATCTCGATTTCTCTCACTCTTTCTCTCTGTCTGTATTTGTGCGTGTGTATGTGAGTTTCGTCCATCAAGCTGATTTTCCTACAAAAATCTTGTCAATTTATTTAAAAACCCCATTTTTCACAGATATCCTACTTTCATTTGACAATGATCTACATCAGCTGTTTTATGACCAGCAGATAGGTATGACAAACGAGAACACGTGGTTTTTTTGTTTACAGGTGTAAAACTGACATGGGGCGACAACGGATGCATGTCTTTAAATTAATATTTAGACAAAAGAAAGAACATTACAATCTCTTAATTAATCAGATCTGACAAAGTATATAAGCATCCATAAAACTGATTGCTACTTATTACAAGTAAAACAATTTAAAAGATTATTATCCCATGTTCATTCATTATTTTTTTTTTCTCAAAGTTTTTTTAAAGTTCAATTTACGAAGTTGAATAAGTTAACATCACCTATAATTAAACCCACATTTCAATCGTGCGTTCGGTTGCGTAAAACACGTACTTTACAATACTTTCCTCGTGTTAACCGTTTTCTTGCTCTGATACATACGCAATGAAACATTACTGATCCGGACAAGTGTTAGCTGCGCCCGCCCCCCGGGCTAGCGTTTATCACGGACCCCTAGTCCACGGATGAGTGAGCGAGCACAAGCCAACGCTGACCGTGGGGTCAACTCTTTAGATGAAAGAGGAGCGAAAGGTGGCGTATATTAAATGCATCATTTTACATGACGTGAAAATTATGACAACTGCCCCAAACTAAATCTTCTTCAGTTATTGAAACTGGGATATTGAAAAGGAAGTTAATACACAGTGCTTAGCGACATACAAGAATTTTTTTGTGTTAAAAAAATTTGGATACGTTTCCAGTATTATTTTTTTTATTCTGTCATTATGTAACATTGACACATACTGGCATTCAATAACAAAATTTCAGATATTTTTGAAAAGTGAAAATAGTGAAACATAATGACGATGGACAGAGATCGGCGACCCGATTGGATCGAACATTTGAAAGAAGACACAATCGCCCGTCCTTATCATGATTCGGTAAGATAATCAGATTATCGATATATCGATATTAAAAAAAAGTTTGATATAATGTGTTTACTTGAATATATTTATTTCTTTGTGATTTATTTAATTTATTCATTTATATTTTGACTCTTCTAATGTTGGAAATTTGGATCATCAATGAAAGTTAACTGACTTATCATCGGTGCACAATTAATTATGCGATTTCTTTTTCTTTAATTTTTTTCTTTTTAATGTTGTTGAATTATACTCAATTTATATCTTTAATTACTTTTGATGAAAGAAAAATTATCTTTTCTTTTTAGCAATGTTTTACAGATGCTTTTGTCATATATGAGATCGTACTAATTAGATTTTATTTCATTAATAATGATAAATACTAATTGCCCTTCATCTCAAAATGAATAAAATAGCCCTTGCTGTCCTATAAAAAACATCAAAAAGACAACGATCTCGTGTTATTGCTAATCAAATGTCCGTTTTATGGGTGATATATTGGTTTCAGTTAACAAGTTACATTAGTGCATATCACTTTGTATTTTCAATGCAGCTCCTACTAAACGTCAAAGTTAAAACATCAAAAAAGTGCTAGTCCTACAAATCGAAGTTATTTTAATAAAATTCTGAAATAAAATGAACCGAACTTTCATGAGAATTTAACGGACAAAATATGCTTCCGTAAAAAGCCTGAGGATGACATGGGAAATGTCTGGAAACAAAATGCTTTGATGTAAAATCATGTTTGTTTTTATGTTTTTCTTAATTTTTGGAAAATTCTTGTTCTTCCAAGTGTGTGAAATACAAGCGATTAATGCAAGTTCAAATATTTTTCTGATTCCTAGGAAGTTGTTAAAATTTTATAGGAAACTGATTACAAGTCTCGGTGTCCACATAAAAAGAATTCCTCGATTGTTTATGATCTTTTTTTATGTCACTTTTGTTATAATTTTCTTAGCCATTTTACCATTTTGCGTCTTTTTACATGACTTTGATCGTTATTTTACATTTGAAAGGAACAAGTATAATATGTATAGGTTGTTTCAAAACACATTATTATCTTCAGTGCGGTTAATTAACCGCTTGTTTGAATATAAAACCAAGATATAATATATAGGAGTTTTTATATACCTCTTTCTCCCGATAAATTCACATATCAAAGAGAGAGAGAGAGAATTTTTTAAAAAGATTATGCAGTAAATCGGCATTTGGCCAAGAGTTTCATAAGGCTAGGAAAACTAAATCATCTTAATCCGCCACACATATTGGCAAACAGACAATGGTAACGCCCTTCCGAGTGACATTTCTGATGAGCTGTCTCCCCCCGGGGGTGATTCGAGCCTCGGTTAGTTGCAGTTATTGTTGTTCTTTTCTAACATCTAGTGAGCGCCTGTCTATTAATTCTGTCATATGTATAGCAGTAGGTCTTTCATCCTCGTAGCTCTCTCGCTTTGACATACAATATACAACTGACACCCTCATCAGCTGATGTAGCCCAGACACACCTTCCTACAGGTGTGTTTACCTGTAATTGACCCAAGATTTTGGGATTTCATCTTTATTTGTTTTATGTTAATTAGTAATTTCATAAGATTTTTCAGTTCAGTTGGTCATCATGTAAATAGAACATAATACCATACTGTAGATTTTTGATTAATGAAATGGACAAAGATCATAAACTGAAAATAGATTTGTCATTTTTTTAAATTCCAAAATGGCTTTATTTCTTTTAAATTCCAAAATGGCTTTATTTTTTATCAGTAATGTTTTTTTTAAAGAAAAATTGTGTTTACATTATCCAAAATTCTCAGATTAAAGTAATATCAACACATAATTCATCAGGCTCAAAGCATCGGGGGGGGGGGGGGGGGGGTTAACCCCCACTTTTCTCGGACATAACTTTTTACTATTGAAAATGTATATCGAAAGTCCGGTTGTCCCTTCCACTTTTTTGTTGCAATATACATTTTGTTTTTTTTAAAAAAGGAAACGTAGTGTATAATACGTGATAAAATGGTTTTGACAGAAGTATATAACACCCCCCCCCCCCCGCCTTGCGAAATAGGACTTTCGGGTAAGGACTCGACAATCTTCTTTCTTTTTTATTGCGCTTGTCAAGCCTTTTTCACCTATGTTGATTTTTTTCTCTGCCCCCCCCCCCCCCCCCCCCGAAACGATGATACGTCCCTGTTGATGGTAACAGTGGTAATTGGAAGTCTTTATATAATTTTAAGTTTACTTTATAGTTTAACATTCAAAAATGCAATTATAATTTGATTCAAATATTTGAAATAAATGTACTAAGAAGTAATAGATAGGTCCACCCAAAACCTCACTTAGAACAGGATTTTCGATTTTTGAAAGCCTTTTTTTTTTTGCCTGTCAGATATTTTTGGGAGGTCACCCTATACTTTTAAAACTCTTGCTGTGGCCCTGAAAGTTACACACACAAACGCAAAGGAAAAGCCGTACTACAATTGTAATCATTCGCTTGACGAACAATTGAACAAAAACATAAGCAGAGAATTGTCATTGTCACCATTAAAAGTATCCATCTCGTCTTTAAACCGTGAAATCCTGTAATTGGTTAATTAAAATCAATATAATGACCATCGAAATCTTTCATCTCTCCTGTAAACATGAATTTAGGCAAGATGTCACTATAGCTGGGACTCCTGTGTTTTCCTTGCCTTAATATGACGAATAAGCCTTGAAAAAAAATGTCTCAATTTCAAGTGCGCCAAACATTCTTACGGATCTCATTAAACATCCGCAAGAATCTTACTGTTTACGATAGAAGTTTATTTGTCAGTCAGAAAAAGCAAAAATGTTTATAAAACTGTCAGATAGACGTCAAAATTTTATTGGGGACATTCTAGATAAATAATTATCATAAATAAATAAGAACAGCATAAAAAGCCTCCCACGTTTTAATTCATATCTTTTAAAGGAGGACGTAAAATTAACCCAACCTTCCACCCTAAATGTATTATGGACATCCTTGTCAGTTTTTACATTGTATTTGTAAGGTTGGGCCTTAATGTATTTATGATAGAGCAAGCCAGAGTGAAGCTTTTAGCCATTGCTTTTTCGATGCAAAGTACAAAGGTATTGTGAATGTTAAGTGTAAGTGAATATACTGTAGCTGCAGAACTGTAGCTCTCCGAAACAAAATATTGACAGACCGGAGAGCTACAGTTCTGTAGGTAAAGTGAATATAAAGACATCATCATCAATGTTTGTATTCTTTGCTTTCAATAGTCTGTTGATATGTACACCATTTGAAAACAAAAAGCAAATTTTAAAAATGAAACGAGGAAAAAGAATAATGCTTAAACACAAGGGCACTGTCTTGAAATAAAGAAGATGGGTGAACAAGGCGGGCAGAATGCCTATAGCGTCCGATATTAAGAAATCATATTCAGTGTGTGAATTGAGTAT